CGGCCGAGCCGAGTTGTCCATTTTCAGGATAGAGATTCCTAGGTGAAGCCTCAAAACGAGGTCACTAGGCTCGCCTGAAGGCTCAAAATAAGCCTCGAGCAAATGCAGCGGGCACTGAATATCCAGCCCAGAAAGTAGACGACTTATATAAATAGCCCAAAAAACAAGATAGCCACCATACGACGGAACAAGCGAGCGATAATGCGAGAGTTGATTGATTTCACATTTCTGGATTTGCAGGCTACCCTAGCAGCAGCAACAGCAGCAGACCGCAGTTTGGCGATGTGCCAACGTCTTAACAAAGCTGCTCGGCCCTTTTTTTTTGGAATATGTAAATTCGTGGTACTTGTGGGGTTGTGGATTTTAGCTAATTTTGCGTTTCGAGATTTACAGGCTACGTTAGCAGCAGAAAACTGCAATTTGGCATTGGACCAACTTCTTAACAAGGCTGCTCGGTTCTTTTTCTTCTCGGAGTATGTAAATTCGTGGTACTTGTAGGATTATCGATTTTGGCTGATTTTACGTTTCTGGATTTTCAGGCTATCCTAGCGGTAGCAAGCTGCAAATTGGCGAGCTGCCAACTTCTTAGTAAAGCTGCTCGGCTCTTTTTCGTGGTGCATGTGATTTCATGGTACTTGCGGGTTTATGGATTTTGGCTGCTTTTAAATTCCCGGATTTTCACGCTACGCTGACAGCTGCAGCAGGCTGCAATTTGGCGAGGTGCCAACTTCTTAATGAAGCTGCTGGGCTTTCAGGCTATCGTAGCAGTAGCAAGCTGCAATTTGGCGTGGGGCCAACTTCTTAGTAAAGCTGCTCGATTCCTTCCCTTGGATTATGTAAATTCGTGGTACTTGTGGGGTTACGGGTTTTGGCTGGTTTTACGTTTCCGCATTCTCAGGCTACTCTGGCGGCAGCGGCAAGCTGCAGTCTGGCGTGTTGCCAACCTCCTAGCAAAGCTGCTCGGCTCTTTCCCTTCTTGGAGTATGCAAATTCGTGGTACTTGTGAAGTTATGGATTAGTGCGTGGTTTTTGGGATGGCTTGTTGGTAGTAGTTCGGTGGGTCGCGCGGTTGTTTCGTAATGCTTCCCGGGGCTCGTGGTATTTAAGATTGTGGTTTCGTTGTGATTTCGCTAACCGAAACATTCCAATTCATCGTTCTTTCGTTCACTTTTGTACTTGTTACTGTAATTAGATAGATCAGTTCACAGGCCGGTCTACGACGGACTTCTAGGGATGAAGGGGAGGGGAGGGTGGAGCTCCTGGGAGGCGGGACGATGGGGATGGAGCCCCCTCCCATTCTGGAACTATGCGAAAACTAGGAATAGAGTTGTAACACACTGCTACTTAGAGTTACTTTAGGCTTTAGTTTAATTTTAGCTTTAGACCAAGGCTTTTGCAGCACTGGTGCTTGTGCCGCCGAAGTTGGGGGAGGAGCGAAAGGCCCCTCGCTCCTCCCCCTCCCTCCACCCGGCCCCGCCCCCTGGGCCCGCCTATGGTCGTTGTGAAGGGGAGAATCTAGTATATCCTGCACTAGTCTCCGAAATAATGATGAAAGAATGCAAATAAACGAGCTTCAAAATCACAAAAATTAAGGGCGGGTTGGAGGAGGAGCAAGGGGGGGGGGGGGGGAAGG